AGAGAGCACACACACACACACCTGACCCACCCTGCATCTGCCTCATGACATGTGGCGGCTAGATGCATGTGTGTGCATGTATTATATACTATACGTGTGCACATTCACTGATCAAATTTAGGCAACAACAAAAACTGTTTCTCCATCAGCCCTAGATTTATTATTTAGTTATTACTCTTAAGCCTTATTATTCTGTAACATCTAAAAATTCCTTGGTAACTACTATGAAACTAATATGGAAGTTATGTTTCTATGAAGGTGAGAAAATCAAGTAGAGACACAAATATAGATCCTTAGTGGAGGCAGAAATCACTAGAGGTCCCACAATACAGTCAGAAGACCTGGACCACAGTATAATTCTATTGTGATTTTAAAGCTTTGAACAAAGTGTTATGATAATGATATACTGAGCTAATTAGGTTTTCAGACTTTGCCTTATCTAATGAAGTTTACACTTTGGTAATTTCATTTTGTTATTTTAGTAATTTAGTATTTTTACTAAAGCAAAACACTCAAAAAACCTCCTCCTCCTGTAATGTTTCAGTGTCAGAAAAAAAGTCTTGAAAACTAATTAATATCAAAGTAATCTTTTTTTTCTATTCAGCATTTAGTGTGACCACTCTGCTTTTATTACAGCTTCCATTCTTTTGAGAAACCTTACTTTGAGTTTTTAAAAAGAAATCTGCAGGGATATTTTTTCACATCTCCGAAGTTCAGTCTTAGAAATTGGGTGCAGTTTCTGCCTTTCACCATCCACATCACCACAAACACATTCTTTCTTCACTTTACCTCCATCAGGCCGGAGATACTGAACACTAGTGTGTAAAAAAGGCCGCTTTGCAATAAGTTTTGCACCTTCAGCCTTATCAGCCCTTAACAAGCTGCCCCACTGAAACAGATGTTCTAATGCACTTTCAAAGGAAGTAATTGATGTATAGACCTCTGTTTAAAAGTGCTTTATGGAAGAGTCTTGTTGCCTGTACTTTGTTTGTTTTGATAGTGTTTATTAAAAAGTATGTAATTTTCTGATCATATATGTCCCAGAACAATGTACAAAGACTGTGACACAAATTTCCTCTTTGGAAGACAATAAGGAATCTAATCTAAATCAGTGATGCTGAGGTCTGGACTCTGGAGTGGTCAGCCCATTGTTCTGAGAACACCAGCAGATTCCTTGTTTGAAACGCAAGTGTTCTTTTTTGACAGCTGCACATCCTTTCAGACCCATAGTGTTGAGTTTTCCTCTCACAGTGAAAGGATGGACAGAAACACTTTTTTTCAAATCTCAAGCAAGAGTGGAGCTTGATTTCCTCCTCTCTCAAAGATGAAAATCATTTAGCTGAATGTTTTGGTAGTTTACCAGGTCTTGCATGACAGTTAAGGTTCCCATTTTGTCTATGTCTTGTAACATTTTCTTAACACCAGTTTAGAAGACTTTTGTTTTTTTCTTACTTATTTTTGCTTCCTTATGCAAGTGTAATCTAATCTCTTCAGAAATATCTCCAGAAAAAAATAACTTATTGGCCATTTTGACTGTAAATTAAATAAAGCCACTTTGATCTCTCCTTTTTGCCCAGTACTGTATTTAGTGGATACGCTTATCTGGAGCGATTTACAAATGTTAGGTGAATGTAACATTAGGAGTCTTGCCCACTGCCTGAATGTGGAACTGAATGTCTGATCTCCCATGTGCAGGCCATCCAATCACGCCTAACAGCTTTTCTCAACAGAAAGGGAAAAAGGCAATGGAAAACAATGAATTTTGTTGTCCTATTAGGCTATCAATAGGCTTAATACAGATCACAATATTAAAGATTCAATAAAACAAATGTCTGTACTTTAGGCCTCCATGTATTGATACTATGTTTTCACCCAAAGCGTGACGATACTGCTACAATTTTATCTCTCAGCCCAGCCCTTAGGGCTAAAGGGGTTTAGCGTCACTAAAAAGGCAAAGGACCTGATAGATCATGAAACAAGCTGAGTACATTTCTCCTCAGTGTGTTGCTTTCTGTCTGTATGTGTGTGTCTACTTGTGCAGGCTGAAAAGATTTGATCTAGTGTCCTCACTCCAGGCTTCCAGACTTTCCCTGACAACTCTTTGATGACTGATACGAATGCTCTTCTGCAGACTCTGAAATAACTCTCATCAGTATGTGATATTAGCTGGCAGAAATTACACTCCTCCATTGATCCAGGCTTTCTGGGCAAAAAGCGAGGAGAGAGAAAAAAACGCATATATACCCGAGAAATGCATATCTTGACAAAATGTAATGCTTGGAACAAAGAGGGTGCGGAGAGGATTTCAATGTGGCGAAATTGATTTTCCAATTTTTTCTGAATTTGCTGTCAATGCAGGTGATAGAGTAGCCTTAAAATACACAAGTGGTTCAATGTTGAACATGACCTGCGCATTTAAGAAGGTCAGACGCACTGAAAGCTCACAATGTAGCTAAGTGCTGCCAACTAGGGTCAAACCACACCTGTTATTTAACAGTGTTACCTCACATTTTTTATGCCTCCAGTGATACAGACACACATACTCACACACATTCACACCTGCCTCTAGTCAACGCACCTGACGTCACCTTGAACACGGTGTGCAGAGCAGCTGCCACATGTTACCCACATGAGCGCTTGTCTGAAACAGAGCTAGAGCTCATGGGAATAATGCAAACCTCTAGTAGAACTACAGGGAACACTGCATGTCAATCTAAAGTTCCACCAGCAAAGAGCCTTACAGGCATCTACGCTTCTGCAGTCTCTAAATGTCACTCAGGTCGCACTATAAAGAAATCAGACGACTATAAATCAAAACAGACAGCATTTATATACTTTCAGAGTACCTCAATTTCATTTCAGACTGATGAGCATTCACACGCGCACCCACGCATGCTGATGTTTATCTCATGCGAGTTGTACACTGTTCCAGCTGACGGGTTTTCTGCTGGCCTTGTCGGACACAGCCGATACTGGTGGCTAAGTGTGTATAACCTCAATTAAACCATGCTCTAAGTGTCTGACAACAGCTAATATTCCTCTTCCAGCAGCAGGCCGAATTGATGTTCCCGCATTCGTCACCCCACTGAAAAAGCAATCATACTGTTGTCTCGCTCTGCTTAGGAGACGGCAAAGCACTGCCTGCAGTCTCTCATTAGCATTCGCTGCTAACACCACACACTCCCACGCACATCCCCACATTCTCTCCCACACCTACCGCTCCTGCCTACACGCCCACAATGACAACTCCAAAGCAATTAATTTCAGACCCTCTTTTAAAAGGCATCTAAAGGGTAGATGATTCAACAAAAAACATGGACTAGCCAAAGATAGCAGCATCTGAAACACACTTTGAAAATTAATGGTTGTTCAAAAAAGGAGGTAGAGGGTTATTTTGAGCAATGCCATAGAAGAACCACGTTTGGTTCCCTGAAGAACCCTTGAACTGAGTTATTTAAAGGACCATCCAAGCGCAGGAGTGGAATGTTTTTTACAGGGATGATGAAACATCTGAAGGAGGCAGGAGTGGCACCACATCTCCAAAAGTGGTGGGTCAAAATGCATTGGTTCTAACTAAAAAACACACCCAAAAGTCATGGCTATAATATAATAACTTGTCCCAATAAAGCTATTTATAAAGCATCGGTGTATGTTTTGAACCTGCAGGTTCACTGGGTTCTTCCATTGTCTTTACATTATAAGGAGGAGACAGTTCACTGGTGGAAAATGAATAAAATAGCTCAACATGGCATAATAAGTGGGGATGCAAGCATATGCAGCAGCCAGAGCAACCTAAAAATATGTTTTTGTATGCTATTTCACCCAAATGCCATAGTGTATGTAAATCATTAAACATTAATGCGGCTTTCAGTTTTGAGTTTCTAGATCTCTCCTTATTCAAACAGATAGGAATCTGGTATTGTATGAATACACTGTGGAAATAACTATTCTCTTTCACAATCTCTCTAGTTCTGCTCAGAAACTGGCTAACTAGGGTGTTACTAACTCAAGGTGGCAGCAGTTGTTATCACTCTCCTTATCTTCACTATTTAGTCCTGAATGTTTTCAAACACTTTTAGAATGAATAAGAAAGTGGTTCACATTTAAATGGCTAACCACAAACAGTCCACTGCAGCAATCGCCACGCCTCCCTCCAGCATGGCTGGAACTACAGCCGACACAGCCGCCTCGAACTACAATTCCTAGAACCCCTTGCTGCTTCACATGACTCAGGACTCCAACTGATCAAGCTATCAGTGCTCTGCTTCACTGGACTTCCGATTATGCACACCTGTTTTCCCTTTATTTAAACTGCCTGTTTTCTGAACCTCTTTGTGAAGTATCATTTGTCTGTTTGTCCGTTTCTGTGTATGGCCTGTTTTTCCGTCTCGACCTTGATTTCTGCCCTTTTGTCCAGTTTTGGATCTCTGGTTTTTGACTTCTGGCTTCCGTTTCCCGACTGTGATTTTGGATCAACCCTTTGTTATTAAAGATCTTAACTCCAGCCTCGTCTGCGAGCGTCTGGTTCCGTCTGCCACCGTTACACAATTTTGTGAGTGAAGATCAGTCTTTTACTGTTTTAATTTAGAGTAGCCTGATACAAGTCTAGTAGACGAGTAGTCTACTTTGCATTCTCACTGACTGTGTGAGATTACTTAGGTACACAGAACACTTATGAATATGCATATTTTGTGTAAAAAGATATGATTTATGAACTGGTGGTGTTGAATGATTTTCCAGTGGTGCCAGTATCCACCTAGAGCTTCGCCTGGAACCATTCCATACATAAAAAAGTTCTTAATTCAACCAACTTCTATGACATTACGCCAAAGAACCATTTTTGGTACCTATTTTTAAGAATATGTAAATAGTTGAAGGCTGATATCATGTTCATCCACTTATAAACATGATGTGTAACATGTTGCATTTCAAAAGGCTCTAAGTAAGAAAACAGATTAAAACAACAACCAGAAAGCCAGCAGACAAGCAGGAGCGTGTACCTCTCTGTCCAGCAGGGAGGGTGAGATGACAGTCACAATGTCACCTCTCTCTGGGTCAATGTAGAACATGTTGGGCGAGGGCTTTTCAGGCGATTGCCTCAAAATAATGTAGCGCAGAACAGCATTGTCTGTGTTGGGATCATCTGCATCGAAAGCGGTCATCGTCATCACTGTGGTACCTACAACAAAAATAAAATTACTCGGTCAGTAAAGTGGCACATGGATGATACATCTTGCCGCAGCACTGTGAAATCATACATACTTAAATTTCATATTTACATTATTTGTATATTGGTAGTCATACTGTGGATCCACATAGGTCGGAATATCTTTTGCTTCATAAGCTAAAGTGGAAAAAAGGCAGTGAGAAATGCCTTTGTCCAAGTTATTGTCATACAGTAAAGTCTTACGCCTCCCGAGAAAAGCATTTACAACTTTTCATCTAGGCAGTAAGTGTGATTTTGCTCATGAAAACACTAAACAACATTAGAATAAATACTAATAAACATTACAATGAATGTAATTTGAGTAGTCCAAAAAAGATAATATAATAATATTATAATATTATATATAATATATATATAATATATAATATGATAATATTTGGTGAGGCGGTTAGAAGAACACAGGTTTAGTTCTCCTTAATGCACCCCAGTCCCTGCATACAGCACACATGAGTTAACTTAATGAAGTCTTGATTAGCTGGTATAGATTGAAACTATAAATACTGGGCTGCCTCAAGAAGAGGTTTAAAATTGGTTATGCTAACACACTAACAGACAAAAGCACAATGTAAAGTGTTAATGCTTACTTGTATTTATTCTGATTCCAAGAAAATAAATGTTTACTACCCAGATAAATTGCATCTGTATCTATTTTAGCTCCTATACCTAAACCTATACTGCATCAAAAAGAGACCTTGCCCCAGATGAAATGACATCCAGTCCCCTCTGAGCCGGTATTTCAGCACTGCAGTTGGAGTTACAGTGTACCTGTACTGAGGAGGTCTCAGATACTTCCTTCACTCCACCCCCCACACCCCCACCAACCGTCTCATCTGAATGCACTGAGCTGCTTGCTGAAGCGAGCTGCAAATGGAGCCGAGGTGGCAGCTTCAGTGACCGGGTGTGGGCCACGGCTGAGTCATAGCTATCTCTCACAGTTAATGGCCTCTATCACTGCCTGTAACCTTTAATGTTCACTTTTATTATACTCGTCCACCCAACATAAAGCCTGTGGCAGCTAAAAATTGAATGAGGAATAGGAGGGGAATATGGAAAACGTGGTCAAAAATAATTATGACTATCTTGAGTAAATGGGTTGAAGGCAATTAAAGGTAGTTGGAACAGGGTGGGTTTCTTTCCTGCGGTTGTTGTTAAGGGAGAGGAGACATTAGCAGGCAGTAAAGCAGCACACCTCTAATGATTAATTACAGACACAGAGATGTGTGGAAGGACTCTCTGGTGACATCAGCAGCCACGCTGAGCTGTTCCACTTCACTGTTCAGTCAAATCAAGCTAAAAGGCACTCACTCTCTCTCATATACACCCTGTTCATTTGAAGTGATGAAGGAAAATGAATAACTAATGGTTACACATAAATAGAACATTACAGGGCACATTTCATACGACCTTCCCCACTTTTTGAAATAGAACTGTTAAAGTTTCAAAACATGCCATTCACTCCCCAGTCCATTTGGCCCAAAAGGAAACTAAGCTGCAAAAGCAGCCTGTACTATATACTGTAGCATCAGCGCAGAATAAGACGCAGGGGAGGCCATGATTCCCACCACCAGAAGGGCTCTTTACTGAACACCAGCATGGAGCAGGTCACCACTAAGAATACACTTCACCCTCATGGTGACCACAACACAAAAAACACACACCACATGTCTTTAACCAACGAACACATCCATCCATCCATCCATCACCTAAACCGCTTATCCTTCTGGGTCACGGTGGGGTGCTGGAGCCTATCCCAGCTGTCATTGGGCGAAAGGCAGGATACACCCTGGACAGGTCGCCAGTCCATTGCAGGGCAAACAGACATTGTATTTAGTACAAGTTTTCAAATTTTCAGGAATTATTTCCACTTTACGATAATTCGCTTTAAGGATAAAGTCAACAGAAAATAAGTGAACAAAACACCAGTTTCTGAAACTGGAGTTCAAAGAATGTTAAAAAAATATGGAGAAAATCGAACTCCTAACGGTGAGACGGTGCAAGACCTGGTAGACCACTAACACTGTCAGCATCAGACAAACAGTACTAAGATCTTTAATTTTTGAGAGATAAATCAAGCTCTACTGTTGCTTCAGATCTGAAAAAAATCGACCAGTGTTTCTGTCCATCCTTCCACTGTGAGAAGACAACTCAATGCCATGAGTCTGAAAGGATGTGTAGCTGTCAAGAAGCTGTTACTGAGAAAAGGAAACAGCCAAAAATTGCTCCTGTGGACTCACAGCTGGTCTGTTTTCTCTATTGTCCTGTGGTTAATGGTTGTATAATTTATTTGTTTTTAATTGTATTTATTGTCTGTCTCCACTGAGCTCTGCTGTTCTACATCAAATGCAGCACCATATCCTGCAGAAACTACATTTAATTTCTCTCTCAACACATCTGTGATGAAAAATAGGACAATAAAGCTGACTTTGAAAGAACATGGAAAATCTGTAAATCATACAAAGTACAGCGGGTGTTGTCAGAACAATGGAGCGGCCCACCCCAGAGTCCACACCTCAAGTTCAGTGAATGTGTTTGGGATTACTTGAATAGTAAGAAGTATAAAATGCAACCAACTTCTAAGAACTTTGGAGGCATGGAAAATATCCCTGCAGATTTCCTTAAAAAATTGAAAGCAAGTCTTCCAAAAAGAATGGCAGCTATAAAAAAAAGCAAAGAGTGGACATACTAAATACTGAATAAATATGAAAAAATATATGTAGTCATTGAGGTTTATGTGTAATCTATTTGTTCTGCTTTTTTTCCTTTAACTGAAAAAATAATAAATTGTACATAAAGGCTGTTTTGATGGGGGATTAAATACATAAAGGGTGGTCTCTAACTTTTACACAATACTGTAAATGCACAGTACAATATGAGCCTTTTTAAATCTTACAAATTGGTATTATATCAGTCATCATCATACTGAAGCCTAAGCTACCAAACATATCATGTATGGCACAATAATCACTGTAGAATAGTGTGCAAAGCAAACTAAAGCACAGAATTTGTTTTCTAAGCACTTCCCACCTTCAAAAGAAAGGGTACAGTAAAGGTCACCACTGATGGAAAGTACAGTGGAGCTAAATAATGATGCATCCATATCACTGATGTATGTTTTCAGTCAGATTAATTTACATCAGTACTCAGCTAGGTATATGTAGACTTTAATATACAGGGCAGCGGTATGTGATTTGAAATGTTCGCTCTGAGCTGAAAATAACCACTTCAATAATCCCCTTCTAGGCAAGCAAAGTGCTGCTCAATTAAATTCTGCGACTGTGTAAATTCACCAGGATTGCATATCTGGAACGCATCCAATTTTGCATCAGAAAGGGCCTTCTGTTGAGGGAAGAGAAACTGAATCATATATCTGTGGCTTCATTGCAAATCCCAGTGGCCATGCCGCACACTGTTTTTAAGGTTTCATTTACCACTCATCAGATGGCTCAGGGTCTGTTATCAATGTAATCGGAGAATTTTAACAAGACTCTCCTCATACCAGACAAAGCCTCCACAAATCCAGGGCCTCTCAGTGGATAAATCTGAACATTAAAGAAATTGCCCTCTAATGCTGTAACTATTTTTGAGCTCATCGTTCTAATCAAATGACCAAGCTAATCTCCATTAGCGCCCTCTCAGCACTCAAGCATTAATAAAGTTGGTAATTATTGTTACGTTAACCTGTCTCCAGGGCTACTCCCATAAAAATCAAGAGTGCTCGGAGGCATTTAGCACATGTCAATATGGCCCATGACAAAGCCATCAACTTCCATCAGCACACGCATAAATCAACAAGCACGTCTAATTGGTTAATAGGACTGGCCAGAGAGTGAATGCAAATCACCAACCTGCAATTATGAGGCAATAATTTCAAAGCTGGGCACAATTCAGGAGCTATTGTCTTCCTTTATGAACTCCATATTCTCTCCAGTGCCAAGGCAGAATCAATGATAACTGCATCGGAAGGTTTAATGGAGGGACCTCCAAATGGCTATACGTCAACCTGTGGGTCTCCATTACTGTATTATCAACTCTTCTCATCTTATCTGGAGTATGAGATCAGGAAGGGTGAGAGCCTCTATCTCACTGTCTCTCTCTATGAACCCATGAACAGAACAGTGAAATGGAAAATGTCTCATCAAATGCCTGACTAGAGCAGCTAATTTAATATAGGGCACGTCGCCTGCAGCTAATACCGCATTAACTTACTCTGTATTCTTAAACGATTCAACTAAAATATTCTCACAGCTCAGAAAGAACGAGAAAGTACTTTCAGGCTGGTACATCTGCTTTCTGATATCTCAAATATAGCAATCAAATATAGCAATCAACATACAGTAGGCAGTTAAAAACAGTAAGATAAGCTTTAAATTTTCAGTCAGGTTAGTAGTCTGTGGAATCCATCTGCACAAGAAGAATGACAGATTATTAGTTAATTCTTGCCCAGAGCGGCCTATCTGGTAAACAGATGTTTGCTCCCAGCACAGAGGCACAGAGAGTTCTGGGGTTTACACTCCACTGGAACTTATTTATTTATTTATTTATTTATTTTTGCACTGGGGCTCATAAGATCCTAATTACGCCACTGATGGCACGGCTGTGGTATGCATGGCTATTTGCTAAATGTATTATGTAGAATGCCGCTATAGATCTCATGTCAAAACTGGCAGCATGTTGGAGGCCACAGAACAAGGGAATTAAAGATACTATGACCCCGTTTACACCTGGTCATTTCATGCATCTTGAGTATCAGAATTAAATCCATATTCAACATCTGTATTATTTTATCCCTATTTGGCTTGTCATTTATTGTGTTATTATATTATGTCTTGATATCTTTGCAGTTTTCTCAATTTACTCTGATTAGATAGATTATTTACTCTTAATTTGTACTATTAAGATTATTATTATTATTTTTTTATTTTAACATTTGATATGCATTGCTCTTATTTCTC